TTCTATTCTATATCTAAAGAATAGCAGTGTTGTTTCTATTCATACATCTAAAGAGGTGTGGGAATGACATATCTCATTTGGGAGGATATTTATGTATTGGCTTTTTGAGACAGGGTTTCACTATGCAGTTCCTGCTGGCCTTGAGCTCATGTTGTAGCCCAATCTGGCCTTGAATACACCTGCCTCAGCTTCCTGAATGCTGGAATTACAGATGAATGCCACAATGCCTGGCTTTTGGGATTACTTAACCTTTCATAGCTTGGAACATATAATAGCTCTGTAAGAAAGGACTGTCCAGTGTCACTAGCAGACTAGAAAGTAGAATGAGGACAAAGGACTCTGAGAGCACCATGATGAAATATAACCCATTCAAAGCCTGGTATGTGCTTTCATTTCACTTTAAACAGGTGTGCTAGCCGGGAGTTTAGCTCAGCAGTGTAAGTGCCTGCTTGGTAAACGCAAGGTTGTGAGTTTGAGCCCTGGTACAAAAAAAAAAAAAAAAAAAAAAAAAAAAAAAAAGAGAGAGAGAGAGAAGAAACAAGAAACAGATGTGCTGGCAGATGGACTTCCAACATGAGACAGATGTTCTTAGTTACTCATCACCCAGACCACAGCTCTGTACTCATTTAAACACACATCAGAGCTTATCAGAAGTAAAAGATCTGTCAGGATGGCACGTTGTATGTAAGTGTGCCAGCACGTGCTACGGTGATAACAATATTACAGATGGAGGCAGAGGGTGCATGTGAGACAGCCAGAGAGAGCAGAAAAGCAGGAGAGAGGGGAAGTGGGAAGAGATGTGGGCAAGAGGGAAAAAAATAAAAAATACATTATCTTTTTCATTTTTTTCTAAGATTTCAGAAATAGCATTTATTTATTTATATTTGGTTTTTAGAGACAGGGTCTTGCTGTATAGTACAGGCTGGCCTCGAATTCATGACAGTCTTCCTATGTCAGTCTTCTGAGTGCTGGGATTACAGGTCTGTGCCACCACACCTGGCTAGGACAGTGTTGTAGTTTTATTTCCTGATTTTGACCATTGTAGTATGTTCTGTATGGTGTTAAAATAAGTGGGATGAGGGATACCAAAGAGAGAATCTACACTAATCATACAAATTTTGTACAAGTTTAAAATCAGTTACAAGTTGAAACATAGTTCTTAATTTCTTTCATATCTTATTTTATGACAAAGTACTACGTGTTCAATAAAGAGAACATTTTACCAACCTGCCCTGAATAAGAGCTATTAATGTAAATTCATTGAGTTGTATATATATATGGACATGTTGTTTACAGGAATTTCAATCACTGAATTCATTTGCAAAGGTAAAATCTTGTATTTCTTTATAAAACAGTCATACACACTGAAGAGTTTTCGGTCATACACATATACAGAGAGAGAGAGAGAGAAAGGAGAGAAAAAGAGAGAAAGTGAATGACTGAGGATTGAACCCAGGAATTTCACACTTAGCTGTATTTCTAGCCTTTTTTTTTTCATTGACACAGATTCTCACTAAGTTGATCTGCTGCCCATGTTGGGTTCAAACTTGAGATCCTGCAGGCTCTCAGTTTCCTAGTACTGGGTTTACAGGTGTGATGAGGCTTGACTAACTTAACTAGTTTTATACCTTCAGTCTATCATGGAAGGTGATTTAGTCAGTTATTTTAAGATTTAAAGTAATTTAAATTCAGTTTCAAACTTAGTCCTCTTCCTCTTTAGGGTGTCGAGATTATGTCTGAATTTCATTCCTTTTTTGTAAGCATTCACTGTCCATATAACATCCTACCTAACTGTTGAGGACCAGTCTCCTGCTTGTGCCTTGATGACAAGCTCATCTTCACAGTACTTTAGATTAATTTGGGGACTCTCTTAGGATTGTACAAAGCTGCCCTTCCCGCTCAACAGCGCCTCTTCATTCATCTTTACTCCTTTATTATTCTGGCTCATTTCTGGTATCTGAACCTCACTCTAAGATCAGAATGTATTTTCCAGAACGTAACCTCAGAATCCTGGGATCCTGGGAATCCTCAGGATTCTGAGGTTACGTTCTGGGAAATATGGCACTGTTTCCTTTCCTGATGGTGGCCTCCTGAAATTTTGCTAGGTTATTATCTCTCCCTTTGTGGATCCTGGCCCAGCATGATGGCACTATAGGCCCTTTCCCTCAATTCACAACATTTATCTTTCTCAGCAGAGCATGGTTTGTGTGCTTATAATCCCAGACTCGATGAAACTGAGGCAAGAGAATCACCATGAATTCAAGGTAAGACTGAGCTACATAGTGAATCAAAACAAGCCTGGAATACATAGAGACTATGTCTCAAAAACCCAAAACCAAAAAACCCCAAACTGTATACCTTTTGTACACGGTAATTTTGACTTTGGGAACAGCCAGAATTTGCAACGTGCCAGAGCCTGTTAATAGGGTTGGTTAAGAGCCCATGTAATGTTTCTCATGTACCTGCCTTTACATTAGATGGTGCTCATTAGCAGGAATCATCTTATTTTTGATTGCTCCTCATAAAGACACTCATAAAAGAATCCTTCCAGAACTGCTTGTTTATTAAAGAATGATGGGATAAATGTACTTGAAGCAAGGGCAAGTATTTTGATGAATGACACTGTATCTTTACTGTAATAATTTTTAAAATATTCACAATATATTTAGATCACCACTTTTGGTTACATATTGGGCATCTATGGGCCCAAGTGAAGAGTCATGGTTTTTTTTTTTTTTTTTTTTTTTTTAGCAAATGGCTTTTAGGTTCCTAAGAAAAGACAAATCACACTTTAATGAGTAGCATTTTGAGGGATTCTACCTGTGCCTGTCCTCCTGGTGGTCTCTGACTATGTCATGACTGTGTCACTTCCTCATCACTCATATCCAAATCTGACCTTTCTTGGTTCCTTCAGCTTTGTCACCTCTGTATCCCAAGCCATCATTGCATCTTACCTGGGGACAAAGTTTTCTTCATTGTCAATACTACTATTTATGTGTCCTAGAACCCTTTCTCCACACTACTGCCAAAAGGATTTTTAAAAACCTAAAGCAGAGCATCATGTTCTTGCTTAAAATACTCACGGCTATCCATCATAGTTAAAAGAAACTTTACTTGCCATAGATCATAAACTTGTCCATAATCTGGGCCTTACCTTCCCCAATATCTTTTTCTGTTATCTTTCCTCCTCATTTCTCCAGTCATCAAGCCACTTTACGGTTCTTTGTCCAGTTACAAATGCTCATTTTTTTAGAAAACATTGTCTAGTGTGATAATTGTTATAACATTTTAATGAAACCAGTACAAATTGCACTTTCTTTTTAAAAATAAACGAATGAAGAAGTGATTAAAGAGTATTCAAATTCAACTGCTGGTCCTGGAATATGAAGTCTTGACAAAATGGAGAGAAGTTTGGACTTTATATGGCAAATTTTACTTCGTATGCTGCATTTTTAGCCACGGGACTACTCTTACTCATGGATCTTTAAAAAGCTTTATTCTCACCTTTGGAATTTTCTCTTTCAGTTTAATGAACACAGCTTCATTTACTTTACACACAAAACAGTATCAATCTGGACTTTTTTGGGACATATTTTCCAAGAATGTATTGAGAACCCAGCATACTAAAGATTGAACTGCCATTTGCGTCATAATACTTCGGGAAGATATTAAAATTATACAACTTGAAATGCTATTATCAGGGGCTTCCTCATCAACTTTCCTTTAGTGAGAGGAAGTAATAAATTGCTTCAGATTCTGTCACTGGGGGTGGGGGATGTAGCACAGCGACAGAGCATCTACTTAACACGCTGGGTTCCATCCTCAACAAACTTGTCCCCTCCCCACACAAATTGTCTCTTACTTGACTGCCGGTAATGGCAACAGATAGTTTAAGATAATACACAAATGCTTTTTGAAAAACTGTTTAATATCATTTCTCATAGTCTTCTGATGGGAGCATAACATTGATTATTCAATGAAAGACAAGTGTCCATATTAACCTTTAAAAATACCTTCCCTCTCTGATCCAGCAGTTCTGACAGTCTTACCCTGACTTAAGTGCAGCAGCTCTGGGTCACCCATCAGCTTTCTACTGCATCGCAGGTGCTGATGAAGCAGGAGTTAAAAGGCTTCTTCATGGATAGTAGCCCCTTACGGGTGGGGAGTGAAATGCAGGAACCAGCCCTGCCAGGTGTTTGCAGACGCTGACTCAAGCCAGCTGCAGCAAGGCAGGCTCTTTTTCTCGGTCACGGAGACTGAGAAAGCTGGCTGCCTGGCAGAGAATGCACCCCGCAGTCACAGGGGAAAACCAGCTGCTTCCCGGAGCCTTGGCATGCCTCTGTGGGATCAGGTCCCTCCACCCACTTCCAGCCAGGACCAACAAAATTAGTTGCCCAGTTTTCCTATTTTATAGCTTTCCTGTAACTAACAAATGAAACATTTCTTCAAAACGACAAACGAGGTGGAGAAATCCATACATTCCCATTAAGATTTTCTGAAACTTGTGTCTGTCTCAACTAGGCTTAAAAACGACAAATGTTCTCTTAAGGGCCCAAGGCTGACCATAGAAAAATGAAGGAAAGGTGCCTCGCTGAAAGCTTCTAGTCTTTAAAATGCAGAGCTCATGTAATGGAACACCTTTTAAATATCAGGTCAGGTGAGAAAATGTTAGACCGGATAAGGCAGGGCCTTTAAAATAGGGCTAGTCTCAGGGTTTGGGGGAAATATCCGAAAGGACAGTCGTCTCCCTCAATTTGGAAACCGAAAGCAGCAAGCCACCGCGCACACCACGGCTCGCAAGCCTGGAACAGCGTGCACTTTTCCCGCCCGCCCCCTCCAGGAAGTGGAGAAGAACCCGGATGAAACCGCCCCCGGAGCCGGGAACCCCTCCCCCCCCGCCCATCTTTGACAGGCACCACAGGGCGGAGTTGCCATCCCTTCCGTATCTTGATTGGTTCATCTCCGAAGACTTCTTCTCATTGGACGTTGTCCATGCCAGTCACGGAGCGGCGCTGGTTTCTCAGTGTTTTGCTCAAGAAGATCGCATAGATACTTGATTGGACGCCCTGGTTGTTACTCTGTAGTCGCGCGCTCTTGATGCGGCTTTAGGAACCTACCGCTAGCTTCTGGGCTGCAAGGCCTGGAAAGAATCTTGTCGAGGCGGCTCGAGAAGGGTCAGGGGCGTCTAGGCGTTCTTGGAGTTAGCCCCTCAGCGCCATGTCCTGGATGTTCAAGAGGTGAAGGGAATGGAGGGGGTGGGGCAATGGGGCTAACGGCCGGGAGGCTCTCAGAATGAACCTGACCTTCCGGGCTTTTTCTCCACGCGAGCGGCACTGTGTATGCAGCTTGTTTTTTTTCTCATGAAGCTAGTAGAAAAAATAAATGCATTGTCTTGGCTGGCGAGGAGTGGCTCCTCTGGCAAGTCTCGTGCCAGGGCGTTGGGGAATCTGTCCTGGGTTTGGAGGCGGAGATCTCGGTCCCAGACCTTCTTGGCCGGTGCTTTATTCGATAGAGCATCCATTGCACACCTTCTGTGCACTAGGCATCGTGATCCTAATAGAGAGCTAAGACGACCGTCGTCCCCAAGCAGATTATAGTTTATGTGCATGCACAGACTTGCAAACGTGTATTTGCACAGGAGCTGTAAGAGGTATGTGCGAGCTGCAAGGAAGACGTAGAGCAAACAGCGACTATTAAGGGACTGGGAGCTTCCCGGAGGTCCCCAGCAGACATCTCACTTTTCATCATCCAAAGTAATTTTCTTGCCCATTCCCTAAATTATCATCTAAAAGAGGATTAAAGGCACCCTTAATCCAGCGGGGTGGGGAAATGGTAAGAGGGACTCGAGGTCCACTTCTGTGAGGGCATAGTGGGATACCAGAATAAAATGTTTTGTTCAGAGATAAAGTAATGAATACTGTATTATCTGAAAAGATGCAAACAGCTTCATGTATAATAGTTCTGTTTTTTGCAGCTCTCTAGATTAATCACTGAAATTTCAGCATATAATTGTGGTTACAGAGATTGCAACATTTACATTGAAATATATAATTTCACACTATAAATGCCATTTATTATTATTTTTTTTTGTACTAGGAATCGAACTCAGGAGCTTGCACTTGCCAGGCACGTGCTGTGTCACTGAGCTATATCCCCAGCCCTACAAAAGCCATTAGTGAGCCCTTACTTTTTCGGTTTTTTCCATTTCGAATAGGACCATTAGTGTAGTTGATCTAATACTAAACAGGGTTTCTGGAAGTCTTCTCTACTCTAAATTCATTCTATAACCAGAGTAATTATTAATTGGTTTACAGCAAAGTAATTTTCAATCTGTTTACAGTGATTTCCACGTAAGATTTTGTTTGCTTAAATAAAGTGTGAGAAAACTATTGACCTGTAAATACTCTTAGCCCCATGATCTTTGAGGAATACTTGGTTAAATACTGTGGTTTTTCTGTACTTTTTTTAAAAATAGGGATCCTGTTTGGAAGTACTTACAGACTGTCCAATATGGAGTCCATGGACATTTTCCACACCTCCCCTATCCAACTTTCTTCCCATGTTTTGAATTCCAAGATGTTATTCCTCCAGATGACTTCCTAACTAGTGATGAAGAATTAGATTCAGTTTTGTTTGGAAGTTTGAGAGGTCAAGTGGTTGGACTACGCTATTACACCGGAGTAGTGAGTATAAAAATAGATAATGCATTAAGTTGTGATACATTTATGGTATTAATCTAGAAAATGAGCGTATTGGAAGGAGATATGTACAATTAACATTTTAATTGAAATACATGCAAATGAGATAACATGCCTACTTTTGATCTTTTGCATTTATTTGCATCAGACTTATACAAAGCACTTTTGCTTGCATTATCATTTAATCCTTATAGTAAATGATCAAGGTCATGGTTTGTGTGGGTGGCCCCCAGGCCTCATGCCTTTGCATTGTGCATGTGTGATTGGTTCATAGTGGAGCACTTAGATTGATGGTGCCAGGGCTATTCCTGCCTAGGGGTGGAGCCAACATACAATGTAATGGTCAGAAGAAGGCCTATCTCTCTCTCACCGTTTTCGCCTTATTGTTTGCAGTCACCATGAATTGCAGCCCCACCATTACACCCTGCCTTAGAGCCAACTAAATATAGACTAAAACCTCTAAAAAGTATAAAAGATAAACCTTTCCTTTCCTTACTTTGGGCATCAGGTATTTTATCTCAGCGATAAGTAGAAAATAACTAAGACAACATCTATTAATCCCTTTCTGGAACTGGGAGAGTAAAGCTCCAGAGGTTAAAAAATTTGCTCAGAATACACAGATGCTGTATGATGAATTTAGAAAATGACTTCTAAATTCATTACTTTCTTTCCTACCCCTGGACATATTTCTGTAATATTTTTCATTTAGAAAGTTTAGCTTTTACTAGATAAGGGAGTTATCTTTTTTAATGTCCTGTTGAAAGAATATTTGATATATTTTCTTCTTGTGTTTGTTCTGTATCTCTAATCTTTGAATTATGTGTATGTGTGCAAGAGACAGAAAGGGACAGACTGAGAATGCACCATCTAAACATCTACTATATATATAGATATATATATATATCTATATATATGTGTGCGTAAAACTTTCTTGTCAGTAGTTGCCTTTGTTATGGTTGTCTATGATGCCTCTGTTATTTGTATAATAGGCTTCTAATTTTATCTTAATTTATTATGAAAAATTTTATTTGTGCATTAATTATCCATTATACCTGTGATCCATATTCAGCAGTTAAACTTTTTGCATATTTACCTTATTCTTGTTTTTGTCGTTTTGTAAAAGCAAATTCCAAATGTATCATTTCACATGAATTATGTATTATAAATTTTATTCTTCTAATTAAATTAATAATTCCTTACCATATCCAATAAATAATTCACGAGATTCTCTTATTTAAAAAAGTCTTTATGGTTGATTTTTTTTTTTTTTTTTTTTGCTTTTTCGTTTTTACCGGTACCAGGGATTGAACTCACGACTGCCTGCTTGCAAGGCAGGCGCTTATGCCACTGAGCTAAATCCCCGGCCCCTGGTTGATTTTTTGAATCTGAATCAAAGCAAGATTCATATATCATGATTGGCTATTAGAGATGAAAAAGCCCCTTTACTCTTTGTTTCATGTTGTAGCTCTGTTGTTTTGTAGAATCTTGTTAGAGTTGTTAGTTCTTCCATTCCCTCATATTTGGCTCCTTTCCTGTCTTTCTTTTTTTTTTTTTAATTTTTGGTAGTACTGGAATTCAGAGGTGCTCTGTATTTCTAGCCATTTTTATTAATTTTGAGAGAAGGTACTTGCTAGGTTTGGCTGGCCTGGAAGTTGTGATACTCCTGCCTCAGCTTCCCCAGCAGCTACGATTATGGACATGGGCCACCTGACCTGGCTATTTTTGAAGTTTGTCAAGTCAGTTTTTGACTGTGTGAAGTATGTTCTACAACTTTTTTGGGAAGAGTTCCATGTTTTGGATTTATTTAATCCTCATTATTCTATATTTACTTTATATTGGAGCATCTCAGATTGCTGATTGTTTGAAATGTATTAGCTAGGAGATTACTAAGGAAAGAAAAATATTTCTTTAGCTTTTATATGTTCGTATTTTAGTGTTTTACAATTAAAGGGTAGTTTGGCTAAATGGAACATCTTTGATCCGTATTTTCTCTCCATATCTAAGCTTGTATAAAATATTGGTGAGAATTCCAATGCCAGTATGATTTTTTTCCCACTTAAGTGAATTAAAAATTATTTTGTGTAGGTAACTAAAAGATATTTTTCCTTATCTTGAAAGTTCAGAAATTCCATTAGAGTGTGTCTTAGTTTTACAAATTTGTTTTGTATTTCAGAATATTTTCCAAAGTTACAGTATTTTTTCAGGGATTCCATATTCTTTTTCTTTTTTAAAGATTGTAGTCGTACTTTGTCTCTCCTTTTCTTAGACCTGTTGTATTTTTATGTCTTAATATTGTTAACTGCCTCTGAAATCCTTTTTATTTATTTATTTATTTTGCTTTTCTGTTTTTAATAGTTTTCTTGCCACATTTATTCACTTTGTATTGTTTTTTTACTTCAGTCTGTGAAATGGCTTTTTTTTTTTTAAAAATGGCTTTTTTTCAATATCTTTTCTCTAGCTTTCATATCTGTTACTTTGTGTGTGTGTGTGTGTGTGTGTGTGTGTGTATTTTGAGACAGGGTCTTACTCTGTAGTTCATGCTAGCCTTGGACTCTAACTGTATAGCCCCGGCTGGCCTTGAATTTGCAGTGATCCTCCTGCCTCAGCCTCCTGAGTGCTGGGATTACAGCTGTATGTTACCGTGTCCCGGCTCATGTCCATTTCTGAGCTTTCATATTTCATATTTGTATTTTTTCCCCCAAATCTACATTGTTTTCTAAATCATTATATATTTCTGTGAAATACTAAATCATTAAATATTAAACCTTAGAACAGTCTTTGTGTTGTTTTAAAATCTCCATGCTATTAGTAAAGTAAAAATTTGTGCTGTTTAAAAGTTATTACTTTTTTACTTTTTAAAATGTGTATTTATAAGCATTGTACACATGTTCATTATTTTCAAATGGCCAAAAGCATTAAATCTTTCTAAAAATTGCAACCACAACTATTTATTTTATATATTCTACACTTTTTTCTGTGAACATATACATGTACATTGGAATCATGTTAATAAAAGTATACAAGTGAGATCATATATGCCTATTGTCTCAGTAAAATCATATAATTTTTCATGTAAGCATAAGTCTTTGTTATACTTTTAAGTTTCTTACAGATGAATATTTTAGAGTTGTTCACTTATGAAAAAATACTGTAATAGAAGTTAAAGTTTTTATCTTACTTAATTTTTCAAGTTTTTGAAATGGATTTATAGGTGATAAAATATACTTTTCCTTCCCTGGAATCGGGGATTGAACCTATGGCCATTGTGCTGAGGTACATCCCTAACCCTTTGTAAAATTTTTTATTGTGTGATAGGTCTTGCTAAGCTGTCCATGCTAGTCTTGAACTTAATTTGTTATATGAGTTTTGGAAAAGATGCCACAGTTGTGTTTGTGTGGGGAGGATGGCTAAGGTCATGTTTGTCACCAGATGTAGAATTTGTAAACAAAAGCAAAATTTTGCCAAATGATTCCATTTGCAAAACAAATTGTTTGCAAACAAAAGGCTTCATAAATTGAGGTACCAATGTTGTTATGGACTCTTAAGTCAGGTAGGGGAAAATTACAAACAAAAATACATTAACACTGTCTAATTAATAATTAAGTGATTATCTTAACTGTTCTGTTAATTTCATGTGGATTCAGGTTTATGTCGTATTTTGTGTTTTCAACCTGAAGAACTTCCTTTAATATTTCTTGTAGGTCAAGTCTGCTAGTGATTGAGTCTCTCCTTTTTTTTTTTTCGTAGAAATGTCTTAATAGTTACTTCATTTTAAAAGATGTCTTACTTAACTTTCTTGTTGAAATCAAATGCTCAACACCTACAGGTTATAGGAATTTTAGAGGATTCAGTCAATGATTGGGTGACTTCGAGCCAGGGCAGCATGGCAGAGAAGAAACAGTTGTATGGTGTGGCAGGCAGGAGACACTGAGGCTTCCTTCCCTTTTTATTTCATCCAGGCTACAAGCCTATTGGCTGGTGCCACCCACATCCAGGGTCAGTCTTTCCTCTTAAGTAAAGCCATGACCCACACCCAGAACTATGCTATATTAGTTAGTGGACCAATTCAGTATCACACATCCATGCTTTAGTCACTCCTAAAAGCCCCACCAAAAGTGATTGTATGAGACTTGGAGGGGACATCTAGATATAAGCCATAACATTCTGCCTCTGACATCCAGAAGATTCATGCACATCCCTTTATACAGAATGCATTTACTCCATCTCTAAGAGTTGCCAAAGTCCTAACAGTTTCATCATTTGTGAAAAGTCCAAGTCCAAATTCTCCTGTGAGTTTAAGGTAAACTGTTAGCCATAAGCCCCTGTAAAAATGAGGATAAAGTCCAACACTTCTAATATATAATGGCACAGGATAAACATTCCTATCCCAAAAGGGAGGAATAGTCAGATAGGCAGGAAGGGGACCAACACAAGTCTAAAATCCAGCATGGGAAACATTAAATCCTTTAGTTCCATGTCTAGCACTGCTGCAGTGAAGTTAAAACACTTGCCAGTAAAATTGTTTTTGATGACCACTTGCTCAAAGGAGCTCTCACTCACCTCTGAAGTGAGCTTAAAAGTCAAGGATAGCCAACCTTGCAAGTGGATTCTAAGAAACCATCACATAGTTCAAATAATGGAAGTTTTTGGGGAATGAATCTTTGAAATTGCTGTAGCTCCATTCTGCCCCCTCTGATGACTGCATGCTGCTGAAAGAATCTCAGTAGGCTGATGAAAAGTGTTAAAAGTTGCTGGAGAGCTGAGGTTTAAACTAGGGCTTTGGTGTTTAGCCATTTTTCTTAAATAAGCACTCAGACTTCTGCCAACTTTTGGTTTGTAGAGTTCTGAAAGAGTTGATTTGAAAAGTTTTTCTGTTACTTTTGTGGAGGAGAGTTTTTTTTGGAAGTCCTTATTCTGTTACCCTTGAATGGTTTTTAATCAAGTGAAATCTAGAGAATGGCTTCAGTTTAAGGCTGGATATATTTTCTCATGCCTATTTCTACCTATTAAGATTTTGGAGAATTCAGGTCCAAGAATCAGCCTGCCTGGTTCAAATTATCTCTGCTGTTTATTAGCTTTGTTACCTTGAGTAAGTTACTTAACTTTGCTGTGTTTTAGTCTTTTTGTATGTAAAATGGGAATAGTGAAAGTACTCATAGAGTTATGAGGATTTATAGAATCAATCTGTGCAGTGAATGCAATAAAGGGTAAAGGTTTTTCAGAAGTTACAATGTGACAATTTTAGATGATATGCATATTAAGGTTGTTGACCTCCCAATGAATATAACTTAGAAAACAGTATAGAAAAATCATTTGGAAACTTGTTCTTCAGTATTTCTAGCTTGATTCAAAGCTAATACATTTTTCTGATGTGCTGTGTTTATGGCTTCATTAAAAAATAAATAGAAATCCCAATTCAAGTATAATAAAATCAAGCTATCATTATCTGTTCATATTTATAATATAATGTTCTTTTTTTAGGTTAATAATAATGAAATGGTTGCATTACAGCGAGAGCCTAATAACGCCTATGATAAGAATGCAATTAAAGTAAATAATGTGAATGGAAATCAGGTTGGCTATTTAAAGAAAGAGCTTGCGGTTGCTTTGGCCTATATCATGGACAACAAATTGGCACAAGTGGAAGGGTAATGTACTTTGAGAGTTTAATTTTATTGTGAGTTGTAGTTATCTTTCAACTCATTATGGCTTTTTCTTAGAGTTTATAGAAGTATTATAACACTTTTTAGTCATTATACTGTTAGTGATGTGTTCGTATGAGTTCTCTTATCTGCCTCTGCTACCCAGCTATCAAACATCTGTCCTCTAATGTGCTATTTAATTATTACTACGGCAAAAATAGACTTTGGTTCACATAGGAGGATGTGTGTGCTATCTTCTCAACCTTTCAATTCATATATTTGGGCATTGTTGTAAATCAGAGGTTATAAACTGGTAATAAATGATTAGCTGGAAATGTTTCATTTTGCTTATACAGCATTGTAGACATTTATTTCCAGTTATAACTCTAGATATTCTACATATTAATTTTTTCTTACATGTAAAACTTACATATTAAAAGTTCTCTTGATTGGGGCTGGGGATTTAGTTCAGCGGCATAAGCACCTGCCTTGCAAGCAGGTGGTCGTGAGTTCAATCCCCAGTACAGATAAAAAAAAAAAAGTATAAAAAAGTTCTCTTGATTGGTGGATAATCTGGCAATTCTGGGCACTGATTTTCACATTATATCAGTTGACTAGAACTGAGAAATACTTACTCCACCTATGACATATGCTTTCATTTTTTCACTTTGTATTTTATTTTTTAAAGCATTGTTCTCACCTTGACTACCTTTTCTCACAGGCATTTGTGTTTCTGATATCAATTTTAAGTATTTAGGATATTGGTACCCCAAACCTAATGCTTAGGAGATTCTCATGCTAATCCTAGGTGAGTTTGGAAGATAATTGCTCAGCACTGTCTTTTCTCTTTTTTTAATTCATCAAGTTTTTCAAGTTTGTTTTTTTCCTTTTGTATTTTTCACTATGCAGTTTAGGCCGGCCTTGAACTCACTTTATATCTCAGGTTAGCCTTGAATTTGTCTTAGCCTCCCAAGTACTGAGATTACCAGAGTGCTCCATCATGTCAGGCTAAGTTTTTCAAACATTGAGTATAAACTTTTAGTGAGTCTTGGATTAGAAATAGTTCTTGTAAATCATTCCTCACCCTCCCAGCAGTTATTGAGCAAGAGGTTTTTAAGTGATTAAGAGGCCAAAGTGGTACTCAAATAAATTTATTGTTTTGTTTATTTTACAGTCTTGGTATAAGCTATCCTTGTGTTTTTTTTTTTGTTTGTTTGATTTTACTTTTTTGAGACAGGGTCTTGCTTTGTAGTTCACATTGGCCTTGAACTCACTGTGTAGTCCAGGCTGGCCTCCAAATTCATGGCGATCTTCCTGCCTCAGCCTTCTTGAGTGCTGGGATTACAAGTATATGCCACCACACTTAGCCCTTGCCTTTAATTTTGAAATAGCTTTGTCCCATTTTCTCAGCTTCTTTTGGCGTTCTGTTTGCCAGCACCACCTTTTCCTTCCATTGTGGTTCATTTACTTCTTATCCTTCTTCCCTCTTCCAGGTCTGCCCAGGTAGTCTCTTTATTTTCTTGCCGTGAAAAATCCGAAAGGCTTATTTGGAATAGATAGTTAACAGATTCTTAAATAAAAAATAACGTATAATTTTCCATTTTCTTCTCTCCTAAATATAATAGGGTAGTTCCTTTTGGTGCAAATAATACTTTTACCATGCCACTGCAAATGACTTTTTGGGGAAAAGAAGAAAATAAAAAAGCAGTTTTAGATCAGTTGAATAAGCATGGATTTAAATTGGGTCCTGCACCAAAAAGTAAGTTTGAGATTTAATTTAGTATTATTTTGATTATTGTAAGATGCAGGAATTGCAAAACATTTATCTTTGCCTTTGGTTGGCCAAAATGCTTTGTATCAAAGGCTCCAAATTAAAATTTCTTGGAGTCTTTTCGAAGAAATCTCTGAAGTTTTGTATTTTCTTTCAAAATAGTTTTGAGTTGCTAACAATAAGGGATAGTTTTTGAGAAATTTGCTATTAGGTGGTTTTTGTTGTTGTACAAACATCCAACAGTGTACTTATACAAACCGAAAGGGCTACGGGGTCATTTGAATATGTATTCTCACTGGACCACTGTTGGGTATTTGGTTAATATGTTTCAGGTAGTTGAGGTATGAGTCTGGAGTGAGTGATTGTAACTATATTGTCACATACCCATAAAAATACACAAGAATTCTCCCAGTGCTTTTCTCTCTGTGCTTCTGCACTGATCTACATCCCTTGACCACTCCCTGCACCTTCTTATTTTGTTTTGTTTTGTTTTTTTGGTACCAGGTTTCAGTTCATGACCTGATGCCTGCCAGGCAGGCACTTATGCCACTGAGCTATAACCTCAGCTAAACCCTCTTTTTTGAGATAGGGTCTTGTGAAGTTTCTCAGTGGATTCAAACCTGTGATCCTCTTGCCTCACCTTCCCAAGTGCTTAAATTACAGATTTGTACCACCATCTCTGACTCTAAATAATCTTTTTTGTAAAATTTAGATGAAAAGAATCTCCCAAAAGGGAATGAGAAACGATTTGGCATGATTATTTAAAGTTTGTGGGATTATTTTAATGTTTCTTGAGTGATTATTGTTTATCTTCAAAATTTGTTTTAGGGCCAGGAGTGTAGCACAGTGATAGAATGCTTAGCTTACTTTTTTTTGTGTGGTGCTGGAGAGTAAACCCAGTGCCTTGCCTATGCTAGGCAAATATTCTACCTACATCTCTGGCCCTTTGTGAAATTTTTTTCTTTTTTAGGTGTTACTGTGGATCAAATCTTAGGCTTTCAAACTGAGATACATCCCCTGCCCTTTTTAAGTTTTTGTGTTGAGATAGAATCTTGCTCTGCTGCTGAATTGCTCGGATTTGAACCTAAGGCCTTCAAACTGAGCTACATTCCCTTCCCTTTTTAAGTTTTTGAGTTGAAGTAAAATCTTGCTCTTGCTGAACTGCTCAGGCTGGGCTTGAACTGAGATCTTTTGCTTCAGCCTTTCAGCATGGTAAAGTTACAGACCATATGTCACCATGCCTGGTTGCCAGTGGGAATTTTTCACGTAGTTTCTCTTAAAAATTTGTAAAGCTACTTATTTCCGTTTTTGTTTGGTGATTTTACTCTTTTTTTTTGTGAATTATAGCTTTGGGATTCAGTTTGGAAAGTGGTTGGGGCTCTGAAAGAGCTAGACCAAGCCATAGTATGCCAGGTCATGCTGCGGTACAGATGACAACTGAACAGGTATTCTTCTTTTGTTTTGTACTATAATCTAAAAGTGAATTTTAATTGTTGATGGTTGACTTTTAAAGGAATAGAATATATATATACTGGTATCAGCAATCTTCAGATATATTGTTAAAATTATAGTAAAGCCTGTTGTATAATAGTATGTATGTGTATGTATATATGTGTATATATATGATATATCTGTTTGCAAACATTACTTTAAAAGCAATACAATTGTTCATTCAGGATCCCCAAATATATATCAAATAATGTGTGTATCTTCCTGTACACTTTAAATCATCTCTAGTTCATTTAAAATACCTAATATGCTATAAATGCTATAATAATAGTTGCTATACTGGGTTGTTTAGGGAGTAATACAAATTTAAGAAGAATGCCTATATTCAGCATATGTACAATGATCACAGGCTTACTACATTTTAAATTTGTGGTTGGTTAGATCTGTGATAAAGAATACTTGCTGTAGATCCATACAGATACATTCTATATACAGTAAAAACATGCTCACAGCTGTATATATGTGTGATTTTTGGGGTGGTTGTTGTTTGTGTGTTTTTGAGACGAGGTTTCGCTTTGTAATGCAGGCTGGCCTTGAACTCACCATGTCGTCCAGGCTCGTCTTAAGCTCACCACAATCTTCCTGTCTCAACCCCTTGAGTGTTGGGTGACACCATACCTGGTTTTATGTGGGCTATTTTTGTATTTAAAATTTAAAAGTTGTTCAAGTAGTAATTTTAAAAACTGACTTCTTTTTTTAGTAAGGTTGCAAATGCAGTGCTAAAAAATTAACTCCAAATTTTGGCATTACACTAGTTGTCACGTTACTAATTTGTAATTTAGAGTTGGTCTGAAAAAACATACACAGTAATGCTAACCAGTTTAAAAAAAACATAGAAACTTTTTTAGTGTCTCTGACCACCAGTGTTATATTTTTGTCTTTCAATTGTGGTTACCATATTTTCCCTGCTTATTGGTAGATGGGCTTGAGCTTGTGTCAGGTGAGCAAACCCCAGGGAACCTCTGCTGACCTCTTAAACCTGTCCTGATACTTTTTGTAGGATGTCTTATTTTTTAAAAGTAATTATAACACATATAGTATATGTTGCTGTGAAATTAGATTTGATCAGTTTAGATGGCCAGTTAAGTTCGCATAATAATGAAATCCTGGTGTTTTATAGCACATTGGCAAGTTCCTTATGACATTAATAAAATGTTACTGACTTGAAAAAAGATCATATATTTATTTTAGGACTGCAAAAATTTTGAATACAGCTAAACGAAACAGAATTTTTGGGGCTGGGAATTTAGCTCAGCAGGGAAGTGCCTGCTTGGCAAGTTCAAGGTCATGAGTTTGATCCCTCCCCCCAAAAGAAACAGAATTTTAATAGCAGAAAGAATCTTGGTAACTGTCTAAATTTGGTTAATTCCTTTTGTCTTTACAGGAATAAGATATTATACAAATCCAAAAGATGAGCTACCTTGCTCAAATATATGTATGTTTTTTTGGTACCGGGAATCAAACTCAGGACTTTGCCAGGCGGGTGCTGTGGCGCTGAGCTGTGTGCCCAGCCCCACCCTTGCCTTTTTAAAATTCTGTGTTGGGGATCCAACCCAGGTCCTGTACAGTGTTCGGCAAGCATACTTTACCACTGAGCTGTAGCCATGTCCCTTGTAATGCTTTTCTGTTTTCTTCCAAATATCATTTATAACAAAATTACCTATTCATTATATCTTCAGTGAGCAGCGTAGTATCTCAGAGTTAATTTGTATACCTTTGACATTTGATTCTATTAGCTAGATGATTTGAAATATCTGCATTAGGTATAATTATTCCTTTAGTTGATTTTCTTAATGTTTATTATTGCTGTGTATTACAGCTTAAAACGGAATTTGACAGATTGTTTGAAGATTTAAAAGAAGATGATAAAACTCAGGAAATGGAACCAGCTGAGGTATTATACCATTACTTTCTATTTAAAACTGAGAAATTTTAAAATATACCAGTAATGCCTTTCTTTTCAAAAAATTAGTTCTTTTTCTGATTCCTCTTGTGAAAAAAGAAAGGACGTTGTATTTATGTTTATGGCATTTTGTTTACAGGCTATTGAAACACCATTGCTTTCACATCAAAAACAAGCTCTAGCGTGGATGATTTCACGAGAAAACAGTAAAGAACTTCCACCATTCTGGGAACAGCGAAATGACTTATACTATAACACAATAACAAATTTTTCTGAGAAGGAACGACCAGAAAATGTCCACGGGGGAGTTTTAGCTGATGATATGGGCTTGGTAATTATTTTTTTTCTTACTGATAAAATCTTATTTTATGATTATGACTTGTAGAAAGTAATTTTGAAGTTGAGAGATAAATGCCAGTTTAGGACTAGATTTTAATTTCGATGTAGAAAACAGTAGTTTTGTGATTTTTACTTAAAATAATACTAAATTTTGTTTGGTTCATTAAAGAAAAATCCAAGAAATAGCGTAACAGTAATAATGTAAATATATTTGTCAGTTTTTTTTTTGTTCTTTGAAATTCAGGATAATCTGTGTCTCATAGGTTTACTTTTAAAAATAATAGGGAGGAGTGTAGTTTAAGTAGCAGAGGTCTTGAGTTCCAACAACAAAATAGTAATGACAATGTTATATGAAATTGTATTTTGTCACAAATACTGTGTTATCTGGACTACTCAGTAGATACTTATAATACCTTGTATAAGCAGTTTTGTAGGTTTTGGTCTCAGCAACTCTTTACACTTTTAAAATTTATTGAGAATCACAAAGAGCTTACATTTTTGTGAGCTATCTCTGTTAATACATGCAGTATTAGGCAGTTTTTTACGTAGGGGATGGCACTCGGGATTGAATCCAGGACCTTAGCACTGACTGCATTTGTCCAGGCTGGTTTCCAACTTGATGACCCTTTTGCCTCAGCCTCTTAGAGTTTGCATCTCCATCATGACTGGTATAGAAACAATTTTTAAAGTAAAAAGAATAAGGGGCTGGGGGCTTAGCTTAGTGGCACAAGCACTCGCCTGGCAAGCAAAAAAAAAAGAATAGTTGACAGAAATTTGTTCTTTAATATAAATGACTGGGTGTGGTGGTGCACACCTCTAATCCTAGCACTGTTGGAGACTGAGGCAGGAGAACTGCAAGTTTCAGCCTAACCCTGGTCAACAAAGGAACTTGGTGAGGAACCCTGGTCTCAATATAAAAATTTTAAAAAGACATGGGAATATAGGGGCTGGGGATTTAGCTCAGCGGCATAAGCGCCTGCCTTGCAAGCAGGCAGTCGTGAGTTCGATTCCTGGTACCGATAAAAACGAGAAAGACAAAAAAAAAGACATGGGAATATAGCTCAGTTTGATGGCTCTGGGTTCATTTACCAGGACTAAAAAACAAATGAAACACAGACATAGTATATTTTTAAATGAAAAGTAACTATTCCAAAACAATCATTGGTTTGATAAGAACACTGTTTTGCATTTTTCCAGTTCCTTTTGATGTTGACTGAATGGATGATAGTTGAATTATCATATTTAATTTTGGATGCTGTATATGAAGAAAATTTATCTGTAGTTGTGTTTGTAAAAGGGAACAGTATTTCAGTAGCTTGTTTAGATAATTGTAGATTTCTCTCTCTTTTTCTTTCTTTCTTTCTTTTTTTTTTGGCTGTACTGGGGCTTAAGCCCAGATCCTTTGCACTTAGCTGTATCTCCAGCTTTTCTTACTTTTTAGTTTGAAATAAGACCTTGCTAAGTCACAATGCTGGCTCCAATTGTCATCCTCCTGCCTCAGCTTCTCAGGGTGCTGGGATTACCGGTCTGCCTCACTACACTAAGCTGTGGGTTTCTTTTATGCACTAAAATCTAACAAGTGTTAGTTTATAAAACTAAATGGTCATAATGTGAATTTAAAATCATATCCACGAGTGAGGTTTATATTCTTATTTCATTAGAATCTGTAAATGTATGTCATGCATAGAATGCATATTTCACCCATACGTGGTTTTTAAACCACTCTCACTCATTAAAAAAATAATTGGTTTACTGCGTTATGTAGATCTGCCAAATGTCATTTATTTTACAGTATCAAACATTCATCTATTCAGTGTGACCACTGATCTCATTAGCAAAGTGTTCACATTTTGGGGAGTTGCTATATTTTGTAGTGTTACATACACATTTTCAATATTAACTTATTGTACTTGTTCTGTCATGAACAGTGGTATTTGCCAGTATGTGACAGTTAAGAATCTGATAATTATATATATATCATACACCAGCTACTATGGTTCATGCTAAGGCAGTAGCACTTTTTGTCTGCAGTGCTTTATACAGTGCTGGTACAGATGTCAACTGAGTAAGGCCTTATTTAATAATATAAAAATAGTTCTAACCATATATTTTACTTAAAGAGTCTTGGGGACTAACCTGTGATGTGGCACCACATTTTGAAAACTACAATTTTACACTGTCTTAAAATTGTCTGAGATTTATTCTGTGTTGCTCCCTATACATTACACTGCAAAAAATACTGAAAAATTGACATGTTTTTGTCTAAAAAAATGCCCAGGAAATACTACACCTCAGATTATTTGTGACTTTTAAGTTTTGTATTACCATTAAATCAGATTTAATAAAATAATTTTGTCTTCATATGCACTAGGGCTACTAGTCATTTTAAATTAGCTCAGAATAGATTGTGAATCGTTTCATGATACAACTAATAGTTTAAAATTGATTGTGAAATCTTAGACCAATATTCAATGGAATGACATAAGGTACCTACAGTATTTTATATTATAAATCATTTAATAATTCCCAATGGGATGAAATGCATTTCAGTATTTATTTAAAAACTGATTTGGAATGTTTTCTGGTTACTGAGTTTAAGAATCTGATTAATCCGATCATTTGTCTTTTTAAAACATTTTAAAGGGTAAGACACTTACAGCCATTGCAGTAATTCTAACCAATTTCCATGATGGCAAACCTCTTCCTGTTGAAGGAATTAAGAATCAACTGAAGAAGGTAAGTTTAGTAAGTACCTTTTCTGTGAAGGCAGTGACTTACTGTAAAACCTTTTAAGACTCATTTAAATATAATTGACAAGAAATTGATAATTAGCATTTTGAAAAATGTGGGTGTTTTTGTTTTGTACCAGGGATTAAATTCACGACCTTGCACTTGCCAGGCAGTTACTTACACCACTGAGCTAAATCCCTGGCATGAAAAATGTTGTTAATGGCCTCTTTTGTGTTTGTAAGGATAGAAATATCAAATTTGGGGGGCAATTGAAAACCTTGGACATGTTCATGACCAAATCAGTAATTTCTAAGAAATTATTTAAACAAGTAGCCGAAATTCAATTTTTGCAGAGATAATAGTGTAAATATTTCCCCATATTATTTTAAAGGTAGATATTTTAAAATATTATCATATATATTAGCTGTTAAATAATACCTAGTCATAGAATTTAATAGCATGCAAACACAAAAATCTTAGTTTTAAATATTATGCATTTTCATGATTTATGGATGACTTGATATTTAATATATATGTATACATATAATGTATATACATATAGTTGTATTCAATTTCTGGGAATTAAAAATCAGTTTAATGCAAAAAATAAATGTTGAAGCAATTATTCTTTTTTCTTTAAGCTGAAAATACTAAGAAATAAGAAATAGCAAAAATATATGTGCAAATGTCTTTTCTTTACTCCTCTGAACTGCTAGTCTCATGTTTTAATTTTAGAGAGACTTTCAGTTTCTCATACAAGGGAAGCACTGTGCTATTTATACATGTGTGCGGTTTATTTCACTGAACTGTATGGTTTCAAGGTGCACCTATCTGTCTATCACTTAGGAGTGTCTCAAGCTTTTCCTCCTTTATGGCAGAATAGTTTTAAAAAACAGTGTAAATAAGGACCAAAAATGTATATTAGGTATTGTAAAATGTGAAGAAAATGTTCATTTGGGGAGGGAACAAAAAGAAGGGGGTTTGGGTAAGGAAAGAAGAGAAAAGTAAAAGAAGTTAGAAAAGAAGGGAAAAAATGGAAACAGAGGGATGGGAAGGTAGGGGAATGAGAAAAAAGAGTAAAATTATATCCTGTACAGGTACAAATTCTCTATAATGTGTGTTATCATTATGTGAATCTAAAATGTACCAATAAAATCTGATTGAAGAAAAATTTTAGAGAGGCTGCACACCAGTGTACTGCCACCTGCTTTTTGAAATTTTCTTATTCTCTTCACCTAGTTGCATTTCTTTCTTTCTATTTTTATTGGCAGTCAAATTTGCTAGTTTCAGATTCAGTTCTCTATTAGAACAACATATTATAATAATTTTTGTCTTGCTCTTCGTAATTTTTGATTATGCAACTGAAGTTCTAGGATTACCAGAATTGGTAGAAGCATGTAAAATTGTTCATACTTTCAGTGTCAATTATCAGCTGAATAATTAACAATTGCAAGTAAGAATTTTCTTTTTCTGATGATCAGCATAACTTTTAAATATTAAAATTTTTAACCTATTGTGTGATAAGGAGATTTGAAGATACTTAATTTGCTACATTAATTTAAATGTAATGGAAAGATTATATTTCCATTACATTTAAATGCAAATTGAATATTTAAAGAATATTCATTTTAATGATTTATGGGTGATGATATATGTATATATAAATATATATATATAAAACATATTTTAAACTTCTGTTTTTATAGCATCTTTTAGATTTACATATATCTTGATACATTTTGAAATATGGTGGGGAGTACACAGGAAGAAAAAAAGAACAGGAAAACCCAGGGCTGGCAGGAAAATCTCTTAATTAGGAAAGAGAAGAAGACACTGTGGGACATACTCTCTTAAATCTATCTACCTTGGTAATGTCAGCCTTGTGAGATTTATTTATTGAAAAGGGAATCCTGGCATGAAAAGTTTACACAGTAGTCTATGGATTCTTTTGTTTTTGATATTTATTAGTATATGTTTGCAGTACATAATGCAGTACACAGTAGTCTATGGATTCTTTTGTTTTTGATATTTATTAGTATATGTTTGCAGTACATAATGCAGTACATTCCTTGTGGGGAGTTGGTACTTGTATATAACATTCCTCAATATTTTTGCCCTTTTGTTCTGCCCACCTTCCTCTTCCTTGCATGTCTTGGTCCTCATCCCATTTGCAATATTTCTGTTTCCCTATTTTCTGTTATTATCTATTATTTTGTTCTTTATATTTTGGGTTTCTCATATAAGAGAAACCGTGTGATATTTAAGCTTACGTGTCTTGATTTATTTCATTCAACTTGCAAGTTGCATGCATATTCCTACATCCGTATTCCTACAAATGACTCGTTCGTCCTTTTTTTTGGAGATAGGATCTTGCTATGTAACTCAGGCTGGCTTTGAACACAATGTATAGCTCAGGCTGGCCTCAAACTTACGGCAGTCCTCCTTCCTCAGCCTCCCAAGTTCTGGGACTACAGGCATGTGTCACCATGCCCAACAAGTTTACTCTTTTTTATGGTGGAGTAGTATTCCATTGTGTACAAATAGCACATTTTGTTAATTCCAACTGTTTATGGCCGCAGAATGCTTCTAAGATTTAGCTATTGTGAATTGAACTATTTTTAATGGGTTTAAATATATTACTGTAATGTGATACCTTCATAAATTTTTTTTGTGAAGATACTTCAAAAGGGAAAAGCATTGAATGGAATTTTTATTACTAGTTTTTGAGAAATTTCTACTGATTTTCATAATCGTTGTATTAATTTGCATTCCCACCAACAATATAGAAGGGTTCCTTTTCCCTCTAGCATTTAGAGAATATAGTATGGCTAACATTTATTACTTGATTTCACTTTTTTTTTTTTTTTGTCAGTACCGGGGATCAAACTCACAACTGTGAGCTTGTAAGGCAGGTGCTAATGCAGCTGAGCCCCCAGCTTTCATTTCTTGATGATGGCCATTCTTTATGGAGGAAGATGGAATCTCAGTGTTGTCTGAATTTCCGTTTTTCTAATGACCAGAGAAGTTGAATCATTTTTCATGTATATGTTGGCCAGTTTTAAGAATTGTGGATTCATTTCAGTCCACTTTTTGATTCTTTTATTTTTTTGGAGGGAATCTAATTTTGTTGAGCTCTTTATATACTCTAGATATTGTCCTTTGTCCCAGGGATAGTTGGTAAATGTCTTTCTGTAGGTTATCTGTTCACTGTGTTGGTTGTTTCTTTGCTGTACAGGAGCTTTTTTATTTGATGTGATCCTATTTGTTTATTCTTGGTGCTATTTCTTGTGTAGCTGGGAGTCTGTACATAAAGTGCTTTCCTGTACTGTGTCTTCAAGACTTTTACCTATTTCATTTTCCAGCAGATTGTTTCTTTTTTAACATTCAGATCTTTGATCTGTTTTGATTTTAGTTCAGTATATGGTAAGAGAGACAGATCTAGAGTCAGTTTTCTGCAAATAGCCAGTTATTCAAGCGTTATTCATCAGGGAGGGTATATTTTCTCCTGTGTACATTATTGGCCCCTTTGTCAAAGTTCAGATAGCAGAATGTGCCTTGGATTGTTTCTGCGTCCCTTATCACGTTCTATAGTGCCAGATGTCTGTCTTTGTGTCCATACTTGCTGTTTTATCATTGTAGCTTTGTAATATTACTTGAAATCCAGGATTGTGATACCTCCTGTTTTGTGGTTGCCCAGAGCTGCATTTGCCATTCTGGGTGTCTTCTGATTACTTATGAACTTTAGAATTGTTTTCTGTAATTCTGTGTGGAATGCTATTGGTATTTTGAGATTGCATTAAATCTGTATATCAGTTTTGAAAGTGTGACCACTTTAACTTTATTGGTTCTGTCTGGACTAGGGGATATCTTTTTATTTTCTGACATTCTCTTTGATCTCCTGTTTAGAGTAGTGTAGTTTTCATTATAGAGGTCTTTCATTTCCTTGGTTGAGTTAGTTCCTAAGTATTTAGTTTTTCTTGATGCTATTGTTTTCCTAATTTATGCTATTGATTTTTATGTGTTGATTTTGTACCTGCTACATTGCTAAATTTAGTTATTAATTCTAAGAATCTTGGTGAAATACTTTGGGTCTTTGATTTTGAACAGTGGTGACGAACCTATGACAAACGTCACAATGGGTACACAGAACCCTCCCTGCAATGATGTCACATGTTATGAGTTGTTTTTTCTAAACTAAAACTTCAGTATTCAGATTTAGTTGTAGTGTTGGCACTACTACTAAGTGGGTTTTGGGTTGCAGTGTGGGTACTCAGTCTCTAAAAGGTTTGCCATCACTGCTTTTGAAGATCATGCCTTCTGCAAACAATGATAACTTTACTTCTTCCTTTTCTATTATGTCACTTTTATTTCTTTCTCTTGCCTGATTGTTCTAGCCAATGTTTTGGGTACTGTGTTGAACAGTAGTGGTGATAGCAGACATCCTTGTCTTATTCCTCATTTTAGAGTAAAAGTTTTAGCTTTTTATCACTTTCTATAATATTGGCAGTAGATTTGTCATAAATGACTTAGATTGAGGTAAAATCCTCTTATACCTATTTTTTCAGGGTTTTAATCATGAATGGATGTTGTATTTTGTCAAAAGCTTTTTCTGTATCTATTGAGATCATCATATGATTTTGGTTCTTGCTTGTTTTATGGGATGTATTACATTTATTAATCTGTGTATATTGAACCATCTTTGCATCCCTGGAATGAAGCCTACTTTGTTTTAATGTGTGATCTTTTCGATGGTTGACTGCATTGTTTGTTAATAGCTTGTTGGGGATTATTGCATCTGTGTTCATTAAAGAGACTGGTCCATAGTTTTCTTTTTTTCTTGTATACTTGTTTGGCTTAGGAATCAGGGTAATACTAGCTTCCAGGTATGACTTTGGCTGTATTTTTTCCCTTTTTAGTCTCAAAAAAGAGTTTGAGGAGTATTGCCATTGGATGTTCCCCATGTTCTTGTAAAAACCAGCAGTGAATCCATTGGACCTGGGATTTTC